ATAAAAGGGGGAGGGGAGGGGGAAGAGGAGCTGGAATGAGGAAGCAGAGAAGTGCAGATGGTCTGATGGATCCAGTGACCATGTCAATATCAACCTTGCCAGATCTCAGTTTAATATTCACACTTGTTTGTCCAGTTTAACTTAATTGACCTCAGATAACTAATTAACATTTCCTCGAACAACAGTGCATTCATTTCTCCCTGCCCCCGCCTGCCTTGCCATTTTTTTTTTCAAGCTTTCTGTCTTTCTGATTTGTGGCTATTTCAGAAGGAAAAGCAAGGTGCTCTGTACACTAAATGTTTCAAGTTTTTACAAATTTAAAGAGACAAAATTTCCATCTTTGAAATCTTTGTCATGCAAAATGCGTAACAATGTCCAACAACTGTCCGTTTTTTGATGACCAAGATGTTTAAAGGTTAAAACGCTTACAGTATTTGTTGTGCAGACTACCTCGTTTATCCTTTCACTAATTCTGTTTGGCTGGCACCTGTATCCAGGTGTATTGGATGTCTACAGTATCGTCCTTTTTTTGGTGGTGATTTGTTGTTTGTAGGTTGTTTTTTTTGTGTGTGTGTTTGTTTCCTTTTTAGAACAGGTTACTTCTGAAGACTGGGGGCCTCTGTAATGCTGCCATTTGTCATGTTGTATTATATTTTTGATTGCTTTACCTTATAGCTTTTTAATTGACCTGCTTAGTGGGTCAGTCCCAGAAATTCCTAGAGTTTTCTGGCGTATTTCATGGTAAGTCGCGCTTTAAAGGCTCAATGGCTTCTGCATCTCTTAGGTTTAGGCTTTTGTGGGTCAGGGCTCGCATGCCACATTATGATTATGAAATAAGACCAAATCTTGAGACACTAAAGGTTCAAAATATCAATAGCATTTTCTATTTTTATAGCCCTTTTTCATAAAAATGTTTTGGAATTTACATTTCATGGTCCTGGTGTTGTTCATGCCGGCTCACTGTTGATTTGTCCTGTATTACTGGGACACTTGTAAAGAGCAAAGTCTTCATTAATGTTAGAGCAGAGACGCACCAAGTTGACATCAAAGAACAGGCGATGACAAAGGCAGACTGTTGTGTCGCCTTATGTCACCTTCTTCTGGGCCAAAAAGTGGCACTTGAACAGTCTACAGCCAACTAGTATGTACATTCTGCGCCTGTGTGAGAGAAAATAATCCTCCATACCAGCAGGTGGCAGACGTCTGTATTTGTTATTCAAAGAGGGAAAGTGGCCGACCTAGGACTGTGGATATATAAGCTGTAAATAAAGCTCTCACTCACCACAGACAGTTTGTAGCTACTTCTAATCAAGAATAGGTCTGATGAGAAGATGCAAATGGAACTGGAGTTGTCAACTCTTGGTCTTTTGCTTGTGGAAGAAGAAAGGAGAAAAACGAGGGGAAACGTCACTAAATTGGTGAAATCAGGGTTACAGTGACAGGCTGAAGGGGCTTTCCCGATGCTTCTCGTGCATTGATTCACTAGAAGTTAAAACAGCCAAGTTACAACGGCCTCACCAGCTCGATTCGCAGCTAATTCAGAAAAGCCCCCTACAGGGTCTAACTAGTGCCAATGGTGCGGGACACACCGCAAAAGCTAGGGCAACAGACGCTCACTCATTGCTTGATAGCGGCCAATGGACCATCGTCAGTTCGGTGTGTCACATCTCGTAAGGAACACCTGTGCTTTTGCTACACAAATCAAAATGAATGCAGTGGTAAAGACCTGCTGTGCCGATACTTTCTTGACTGACATCAGTGACTACATGAGTGAATGAATTTGTTTCAGTCTGTAAAGCTGTACAGACATGAGAAGAGGCCTGTTTTCAACAATAATTTCATAAGATATAATAATAAAAGAAAACAAAAACACAAGGAAACAAAGAAACAAACAAAGAAGACATAGATATGCCTTATGACAGACCGAGAGGCTGAACACCTACCCCTCTTACTTATTGAAAACATGATGGCCTTAGTCTTTACAAAATTCAGATTCCAGGCATCATTTGTTTATATTTTAATAATGTATTTTATATTTGTTTGTTAATTTAAGTTTAAACAATGTTTAGGCTTGATAAGTGTGATGCATGTTTTTAAATTCTCAGTACAGCTGTTCCCTAAATTCACCCCTCTGACTGAAGTACAGTGATTTTTTATTTATTTTTTTTTTTTTTACATTGGTTCTTATCTGTTGTTCAGACAAATCGTCATATCTACTTTCTCTCATTTCAAACAACTTACAGTTAATGGTTAAAAGTCATTTTGACAGACTTCAATCTAAAGCAACTTACTTAAGGCAGTCGATTTAAGGTTTATTGTCTTATTGTCAAGGATACTTGGACATGGACCCGAGGAGGTCATCAACTTTTATCATCATACTGTAGGAAAAATCCAAAGGTAAACATTTTGGGTTAGGTTTTAACTTGTCTTACTTGCGTGCTAGTAAATGAATAAAAGATATTCAAATAATATTCATGCTGTATAGTAAGATATTTAATGTGCCTCAGGTTTGTGATTGAGAACAAACTAAAATACAGTATGTGATGTGACTGCCACGCCTTCCCAGCATTCCTAGCCTGGTTCAGTGCCTCACAAGATGCTGTTTGTCCGTTTCAGTCATGTCTTACCATTTCTTCACTTTTCCCTTCCTCTGTAATTCCCCCCCTCCCCCTCCCAGCCCCCCTCCCCACGGTGCGTCAGGACTATAATGTGTTCCTGGTTGTAGTAAGCAGGCCACAGCGTCTCTGAGGCCTTGTGCTACACTGCCATTACTATCTGGCCTGCCTCCACTACAAATCGGATGAACAGGCACTGACACATTTTCAATATTATTACATTAAACCAAGTGGATTTTGATTGATAACCTAATATTGGCCTAATGCAGAGCATCAATCATGGCAAGTATATTAATTATTTAATATTGTGGCGTAATTCAGAAATCGATGCTGCCTCTGCGTTGAAGGCACAGAGTACAGAGGGAGAGAGTGAAAAGAGAGATAAGGAGAACAGGAAAGCTTCGTCCCTGAAGACCTCAGCAGGTTATATAATGTTTTGAAAAGAGAGATGAGGTAAAATGGTGTGTGTGTGTGTGTGTGTGTGTGTGTGTCAGCTGTGTGAGTCTAATGGATCCAGCGATCCCTTCAGCCCTGGTGCAGACTGTGCTGGACAGCTTGCCCTTGATGAAGTCAGGACAGCAGATGAAAGAGCGGGAGATTAAATGCAAGTGAAGAGCTTAATAAAGGTGGATTCATAAAAATAAAAAAAACAGAAATGTGGCTATCAAAAGGAGTGTGAGGGGAGAGAGGAGGAGGACGAAAGCAAGGCACAGTGCATAGAGGAGGAGGAGGAATCGAGTGATGCGTCTCCCCTGTGTTAGATTGTTTCTCAGTAATTGCGCTTCATTAGTGGATTACACACACTGTCACCACGGTAACAAATGTCTTGCTGTCTGGTTGCCGGGCGCCCGTCATGTATAATGAATGTGGCGGGGTGTTTGTCAGAATGTAATGTAATTACAGCTAGATGAAGTTTGCCTTAAGTGGTTGACTTGTCTGAATGTGGCTCACTCACAGAGCACAGAATAAACAAACATCCTTTCTTCATCCTTTTGTCTTCTTTTATTAACTCCTGTTAAATTTTCAGCTGACCATTTCAGTTTGGCATTCCTTCATATCATTATTTACAAATGTTGATGATGTGGGAATGGCTTCAGTTTGTGGTCACACTGGCTGTGGGACATGGCCTGATGGATGGATGGATGGATTGAGGAATGAAGGAAGAGGGAGGTAGAGGATGGGATGGATTAGACAGTATGTAATTTTAGAGATGGTGTAGATTTACACTGTGATGCTGCTGCTTGCATTAGCAACTGAAGCCTGTCGATAAGCCTTTCTCCCTCTCAGCACACACACACACACACGCGCACGCGCGCACGCGCACGCGCACGCACACTATGGCCAGGGTGAGGTTGTCAGTAATGGGGTCCAGAGTTGGACGGGGGGTGCTGGGATCAGGGACAGGAGCTGTTTGTGTTCTCTTGATCTTTTGATTTCCACTGCTGCAAATGTGAAATGTGCCAAAATTGCATCTATTATTTACTGCCAGTTTGCTCTTTTTAAAACTGACTAACCCCCCTTCCCCCCACTTCCTGAGCTCCTCATTCTGCATTTGCTACCCTGATAATCATTCACACATTTTTATTAGTTCATATAGAAGAAGATCCCAGTTCTTCCTCTGTAGTTGGAAATTATTATTAGGACTGCCAGCGGGTTGGTGACAATATTAGTTAACCTCTGTCTGGGTAGATGGAAACACAAACATCACTTCAGTCTGAAAGGTTAACAGTTAGAATAGCTCCTCATTATGTTTAAAAAAATTTTTTTTTCCAATAAAAAATACATTTTGATGTCATCAGGATCAGTTTCACAACCATGTACACCCTCCTCGAGGTGAAATGAAGGGTTGATTAATTTATTGACAGAAAATGAATCTAAAATCAATCTGTTTTAATAAGCAGTGTCCTTTAAGTAATTTGTTCAAGAAAAACAATGGCAAAAATTAACTTGCTTCATCTTCTCAGTGGTGAATATTTCTGGTTTTCTTACTCTTTTCTGCAAACAGACACGACAAGACATTTAACGACATCACCTTAGCCTCCGGAAACATTGTGTGTTGTTCGCTGCTAATGTGCTACAGGCCAGACAATGAATAGAGTGACTGAGAAAATGATGGGTAGATTAATCAATAATAAAAATAAATATTAGTTGCTGCCCCTAATATGCCCTTTACAATTAGTCGGGGTAATGTTCCAGATAAATGTGCTTAGATATTCAGGGACTGGTTCAGAAATGTTCACAGTGCTCACTCGAATAGAGGTTTTTCTGTCTCCTATGTGTTTATTTTTCTCTGTGTGGATTGTGGATACAAAAATGCTCTTTCTTAAATTATGTTTTGCAACTACACTTTATTTACAGTGGGACAAATGTGTTGTTGTATTGCAGGGACGCTGAGAACATCAAAGCCGGATTAGAACATCTGGTAAGTTCTATTTGACACCCCTCTTTTATCCCCCATGCGCGCACACACACACACACACACACACACACACACACACACACACACACACACACACGCTTTGATATCTGCATTCCTAATGAAACCTCCGGAACTGGAGCTGAATACCTGCGGTTAACAGACAGGGAGCGAGAGAAAACCGAGAAAACAGGGATAGAGGGAGGGTTGTGTCTCCCCTAAGGCCTGGTCCAGCTTTTATATTAGCGCTTCATTTATCCCCAGCTCTGCCCAAACACAGACACACAGGTTATCCACTCTGTTCTGTCTCATTTATGCATTTAGTTGTAGATATTTGCAGGAATTTTAGATGTGCCATTACCTGTTTGCACATGGATGTATGAAAGAAGGGTAAACATTGGACCCAAACACGCACACACCTCCCTCCTTTTCCTTTACTTTTCTCCTGTTAGCATGGGGCCTTTCCTCAGTCTTCTCTCATCCATGAATCGAGGGCCTGCTGGAAACGCTCTCCTGGGACGCCGCTGAAAATTTAATGGCCAGCGTTTCCTGCATTTCTCTTGCTGTTCGCTTTAATACGAGGTCAGAGTGCTTTGCAACAAAGTGAAGAGGTTCGCTCTCCTCTTTTTGGGTGGGAAGGAACCAAGGTTTGATGTGCCTCATATTCCAGGGGATGAATTATAGACAGGGGTCAGCAAGGGTCCTGGCTCTCTGTGGATGTCACACGCCCTCCCTCCCTTGCCTCCCTGCATACTAAACCGCAGCTCCCAGAACCCTACGCAAATGACCCTGCGCCCCACCACGTGCTGCGTAAATGACCCTGAATATGCCACACAAATGACTGACCCCGACATTCAAGCAATTCTCAGTAACTCTCTACTTCATCAAGCTGATGCCGTTCGTATCAGAGTTCGACGCTGTGAAACTCAGTTGCAGAATTATTCCTTTATGTTATTATTAATTGTGTTCGGAACTCTGATTGAAGTGGGAACAGACTTGGGTGTGGGGTGGTTTTGCCTGTATTTTGCATAAAAACTGCTCCAAGTTGCACCAGTGTGAGCTAACAAAGCACTGGTTGGGCACAGACCTATTTGACTGTAGCAAGTGTTAAACTGAGGTTTTGGACACTCTCATCATTTTGCATTATCACTGGCAAGTGGTGTGTTTAAATTGTGGAATTCATTGGTATGTGTGCCGTTAACACTGCTTTTTTTTTTTTTTTTTTTTTGTTCCACTGAACTATATAATGAATAAATTTCCCAGTCAGCATTCTGACACTTAAATGAAATGACAGACATTAAATATAGTGCACAATATAGTAATGCTCAAGTTTGGAGGTGGGTGGATCCGGAACTGTGATTGATTCAGTACTCCATAAAAGATGGTGTGAATTATTCAAGAGAAGATTACATGCATAAACAGCATTAATCAATACGTGTATGGGCAGTTATAGCTTAGCAATCATTAGGTCGTCTGCGTCTGATGTTTAGATGAGTCTTCCTCTTAAAGGCAAGCGGAGGACTGTGAACGGATTTTCATGAGACATTAAGTGATACTGGGTCAGTAGTGCAGAGGAATACATCTGTCTGTACTGTGTGTGTAAGAGAAGTCACAACTAAGTGCACAGTTTTTTCATGTTTCCACACTTTTAATACCTGTGTATCATATGGTTATAGTTTATTAATTTGCCGTACAGTAGTGCTGCAGAAGGACATGAACTAGATTATCTTTGACACAATCGTGTCCTCACAGGATTTGGTGAACACACAAGTTTATTTGCCTTAATATTGGATTTCTTGGCAGGAGTTGGTGCAGCCGGTTTGCAAGTGCATGTGTGTTTTTGTATCGTTTTTGCACTAAGTGGACCTATAGGGACAGATTACACGTGGTTGTGTTTGATTCTTACTTACTGCTGTGTCTTTATACTCATCAGGATAGCTCAGGACGTTACAGACACACACAGACACGCGGAAACACACATCATTATGTTTTGCTTTTTTTTTTTTTGTTGTTGGTATACATGTCTCTGGGAATTTGAATACCTGAATGGTGAGTGTTTGAATTTATGGGTGTGTTTATGCTTATGGGGAGATTGCACCCCAGCAGTCGGCTGCCTGGGGAGTCCAAAACTCTGATTAAGATTCAGGACAGAGAACTGTAAATAATGGAGCTTGTCTCCCTCTGAGGTAGAGTTGCAGGGCTGTTCGAAGTGCTGGTTCCCTCTATACCTCACACATGTATCCCTGCAGATTTCTAAACAGGCGTTTATGACCCTCTGTTGATGTACTGCTCTTAAGATTAGCGCATCAACCATAGTGACATGTCTGGCGTCCCTAGCTAAAGTCAGAGTATCCTCTCAACCTGGTTTCCATCAAGAAATCACTTTTAAAAATAAGAACTTTCTAACTTCCTAACATTAATTTAAATCATTTGCAGTGTTTGTCAGTAACTGTTCCACTGTTTACTCATAACAGAAGTTTGTAAAAAATTTTTACACTGATGTGACAATCAAGCTGTTCACATTATCATGCTGCTTGATTATTATTTTTTTTTTTGTCGTCACAAACACTAACGTTGCCTCCTTCTGTTAACTGTACGAGTGAACGACTGGTGCAGTAATTAGATGAGCAAATAAGATTTATGTAGTCTGAGGTTTGTTTTATTGTTCATGTTTGTTTTGTCTTTGTATCTCAGCAGATTGACTGAATGACGCGATCTGTAGCAAAGCCGGGAAAAAGACTGATGTTAATTGCTCCCAGTGCTCTGTGTTCGTTTCAGCTTTTGTACACATGTGCACAGAACACATCCAGGCACACACAGATGAACACACACACACAGAAGTTTGATTTGGATGATTTCATTGCTCTGGGAGAAATGGAGCGATACGGAGAGAGGGGCCCTGCAGCAGCTAATCAGTCCAGGTGGGTGCCTTCTTAGAGCTCAGTCAGTACATGAAAAATCAGCCTCATCAGGATTACTGGCTCACCCAGCAGATGTACCTGTCGAGCTGCTGCATAGACTGCAGAGAGAGGGGATCTGTCGGTAAGAAACAGGAGCTGATGTTAGAAGTCATGAAGGGCCTGTTTGGAGGTCAGGCCAGGGTTGCAGGTTTAGTTGAGCTCAAGCATTACAAAAAAACTAAAATGGAAGTTATATTTTATTTGCGTTTTTGTCTTTGATGATGTTTCTTTAAAAAGGCTATTAAAAGTTATCTATAGAAGATTTCAATTTGGATTTAAATTCCCAAACATTTCAATGTAATTGTTTACAAATGACCATTATAGGTGCAGCAGTCCTATGCGGGTTACATTTTAGGAACATATCAAGCCTTATTTTAACAGATCAAAATATGGTCAGTACGTGGTCATATTTTTTTTGTAATATAACCCTGAAGTGGTAAAAGCTCAAATTAAAACCTTTTCTGTCCTAGTGGAAAGGTTATGGAGTGATAACTTTTCTGGGCAGATTTCTTACCCACACTTGTTCTTCAACTCACAGAAGATCTGGTTGAAGGTAGTTTCCTTTCTCCAAGTTGTTTCTGTAGGCTCCTCCGTGCACTGTTTTTACACCAAGCGCTCCTGAAGCTGAAGCGAACACCCATGTGGTATAGACATGAGCGTGACCTCGCTGCAGCTGCATGTGAGATTCTGAGGCACACCTTGCTTTTGGTCTGTGCCACTGCGTGCACGCCGTGAACTGTCATGCCTCTATTAGATTTGATCAGCACAGACTCTGCCATCTCAGAGTGATTGGCTGGTCACGGGTCAAGGCCAATCACGCTGAAAACCCGCCATTGGCGATCTCCACAGATTGATCGGTGCATCTCTAATTGTTACCAGAACAGTCTTTAAAATCTTCAATACTAGAACAGTTAATCCTTATTTTCATCACATCGGCCTCTGGCGAAGGTACATCGATGATATATTTCTTCTTTGGACAAGCGCTATTAAGGAACCTTTTACAAGTTTGTTGAATGAGAACATCCATCTCAAATTTACAGTCACTTATGATTACTCAAAAGTAAATTTTTGGGATATCTTAATTATTAAACAACATGATAAATTGAAAATAGACCTTTATAGAAAACCAACAGATAAAATACATTATTACATGGCAGAAGTTTTAATCCTACTTCTTTTAAAAAGAATCTTCCAATTAGACAGTTGAACAGAATATGTCGCATTTGCAGTTTTGATGATCTTTATGCTAAACATAGTGCTGATGTGGTTCAGAGATTTAGGGAGAGAACATATAAAGAAAGCTGAATTCAAAGTACAGTTTAGATAATAGAAGGACTGTTTCAAATAAATAACAGTCCCTTATGCATTATACAATATTCTCCTTTAGCTAAAGAGCCTGAAAAAGTTCTGTGCCACTCCTTTTCTCATCCACACTATGGCAAAATATTAATGTCAGAGGCATCATTACTTGCAGTACAAAATATAATACTCACAAAATTCTTTGTGTCATTCACACCAATAATATTGGCATCTAGAAAGTAAAGTTTTTCACTGGTTCTGTAAGGGAGATCTCATCCAGCTTCAGCCTCAGCAAAGTAGGCAAAACTCTCAAGTGGATTCATAATGTTTTGAGAGAGATCTCAAAAAAGACATTTTACACAGGTGTAAGAAATCCAAAGCTTGGACACAAAAGCCTGTACAACATTAGCAGGTTCGACAGTGTTGGCTCTTCTTTTCTTCTGGATTTTGCTCTGGGAACCTCCTCTTTCCTGGGAGTTGCCCTCCACTCCTCATTTTATTAAAAATATTGCCCAGGATCAACAATTTATTGTGTGCATTACTTGGGCGTGTGTGTTTATTTTCGGAAAAGGCTGCGTTTAAATTAGGGTTGCCTTTGTTGATGCATCACCAGACTGTTGTGCACATGTCTTGGTTGGCTGATGCCGTCTCAGGGTCCCTGGGAGAGTTGAAGAGTTTACTGCGGCAAATAGCCTTGTTGGCGTGCTGACAGATAGGCAACAGCAGCTGTGGTCAGGACGACACACT